CAAGCTCTGCGTATCTACACCTGTAGACTTGAAGTACACTTGTAGACCATAAGTCGGGTTCTAAATACGAATTGTTGAACTTGCATGCATACTTTGACATGTGGAGAGATGATCATCAGCCAAAGCTTGCAGTTTACAGACGTACGAGATAGGATAATCAATTCCATCGGGAACGTAGGCCGTAGAAATTCTATCTACTCGATGATGGTAGAAGTGATTGATCCCACTGCGGCCAGTAGAACCACTTCTAATCGATCGGAACCGGCGGCTATCAGCCATTGGTCATTAGGCAAAGGTCGCAGTGAATAGTACCAAATTGATAGTATTCTGGGGCAGATATGCCATTCCGCGGCTGGTATGCATTGCCCGTTAGATCATGATAATGATTCAATCATTACCAGGTAATCCGAGTTGATCACTCCAGAGATGAGAGTTACGATAGCTCTGCTGATGAATCACGATGGTACATTCAATGTACTACATTAAGTGTATGAGTGTTTAGTTAGTTGGCATAGCGGCCCCGAGGAGTCGATTATCATCCATTGATATTATCAACTTTTGGTAATATCAACTCTTGGTATATCAACAGTTGATATTATCCCTACGTACAATCACAAAACGTGCTATCGCGGTCGCTCAAGGTACCAAGTTGGCATCGCCAACGAGGGGTAGACTCACTTCATCGATCCCAAGCGTTTCTGCGGATCTCGATAATTCGATCATTTTCTCCATGTGACTCAACAATTCGTTATGACAACAACTATGAATGGTGTTAGTCTTGTTATCACTAATAACTCATGGCGATTTGGTATCTTCATTCTTTTATGATGGAAGTTCTGTAGAGTCTCGCCTAGTTCTGATGCGGAATGGTCAGGCCAACTCTGTATATTCGCAGAGAGCAGAGGATCCTCTGCTAATGCATATATACAGTAAGAACAGAGGCATGTCCCACTCAGCCATCGATGCTGTGTGATTAACTCGCTTCCTAGCAACAGGAAGTGTTACTCGTCGTTCGCATTCGGATTAGCTGATTAAGCTTGGGCAGCGATATGATGATATGATCGACATCGAAGTATCTTTGTGTCCCATGTGGATAGGTTGAGAAGGACGAGCGTTTTCTTTGGGAAGGCGTGCAAGATGCACATAGAAGCGAGGAGATGGGGAGGCTGAGGTGTTACTATAGTCCGAGAGTCTCACATATACTTCAACGCTGATAGCAGGTTCTCTAGGAGGGCGAGAAGGTGATGATAGTAGGGCTGAGCGGCTAGCTTCTACGTAGCGGGAGTAATGAAAGTAAGGAGCCTGAATAGCTCGATAGAATAGTCTGACCTTTTTTGCTGCTTTCTTTACGAGCATAGATTGTACTGCAGGTCGCGCAGAGCGGGAACTTCGCATCCTGGGCGGATCCTGATCCACGGATCAAGCACATGATCCAGATCACTCGTTGATCTTGACGTCTGAGCCAAATTTTTCGTGATCCGAGATGCGTGAGTCAGATCTGTGATTCTTGATCTCGATCCGTGATCTTTGATGCTGATCCTTGACCGTTGATCTCGATCCATGAACTTTGATACTGATCCGTGATCTGTGATCTGGATCTCGCGTGAACCTCATTTTTGATCCTGATCTATGATTCTTGAGAAAAAACTTGATCCGTGATCCAAAGATCAAGGGGTTGAGAAATTCTCAGACGAATTGAGAAATTTCGTTGATCCGTGATCCATTCGGTCCCGAGGGATCACCCTCTGATCCAGATCAAATATTGGATCAAGATTCTGATCCATGAAAAGGATCAGTTTACGGATCAGTGGTACTTTACGTGTTGAACTGCCGTGATCCTGTAACGGGGCTTTTTTGCTATGTTACATTACTCGTGATCCGTGATCCTGATCCCTCCAAAATGCTACACACTTCGTGGCACGAAGATTCCCTTGTAAATGCATACTAAGGAGATCCATACATTCGCACGCAGTCTTCGTCCATCTAAGGCTTGGACGAGGGAAGGCGGATGGAGGAATACACCAGACTACCCCGTGTCATATCCTCCTTCATCTGCTTGAGATTTTTGGTAGTGTAGTTTATCCCAAACAACGAGTTGATGTCGATCGTAATTTTCTCCCACTGCTCACGCTGTCACCTGGCAACGTCGTTGCCGCCAATATTTCCCCTAAGTATCTTTTGGGTTCCATTGTTTTCGTCGAGGAAAATAGGAGCGAAGTATATTTTTATCTCGCAAGAAGCGTCAGACATTTGGCAACCTAACTACAATGCAACTTACTAAATTATGTGACATAATTTATGTCTTTCGAATATGCGCAACAAACGGAGCGAAGCAGCATCGCTCCGCCGTGATTCTTGATCGCGTGCCTCATCAATACTGATTCGTGCAAGTGATCGACCGTGATCGGATCACTGATGAATCGTGAGTCGTGATCTATCAATTTTAGGTCACTGATCCATGATCTACGATCCCGATCTAAAACTGACAGGATAATGGGTGATGTGATCTACGGATCACGAGAATGATCCATGATCCTGTCCCATGATCCCAATTTTGTTGATCTGAGCAAAAAAATCAGGCTCATGTCATAAAATCATCACATTGATCTTATGACGTGATTCTTTTCTCAGGATCACGCGTGGATCAGGATCCGCATACCGGCCCTGAGTGACCAGTTGAGAATGGGTTATTCTGAACGAAGTATCTGAGGTGAATTATCTAAGGTGACATTCACGTACAACTTGGTTGAATCAAGTTTATCGTCTTCAAGACGACGTCTTGTGATAATTTCACAACCAATATGGTGGCGAGCTTGTTTGGTCGAACCAAACACGGTTACCAAATTCGAAAGGGTTGAGGAATCTGATAATTCGGGTTATATTTGAGTAAGACTGACGTCTAGAAGATATCAGGATGGGATGCAACCGACAAAGAGAATAATAATACATCTCCATGGAAAGGTCGGAAGCTCCGAGGTACCAGGATAGATATACATTGGTCATAATATTTCCGGCCGGAAAATGGAGGCATGAGACGAAGGCGTTTTTTCTTACACAACAATTATTGTTGAACAATATGCCGCTGCTACCAGGATCACCGATCAGCTTATGAGGAGATACGAGGGCGAAACCCATATAACCGTTAGAGTGCGTAGAAGGTTCATATCGACGTGTGATAGCGCGATCATGAA